AAGAGGGGAGACAGGGGCGAAGCGTGCATAAAGATATACAAACATGCCCCGCGGATATGTGAAATGCAGGGTCTGACAATGACATGATCAAAAAATTCCTTTTTCAATACACGACCCAATGCAGTATAACCCACATACTAAAAAGAAGTAAATGCACAAACGCACGAACGCCCCCCCTCCCAATCAAAATCTTCTTTTCTTTTCCTTTATCTTCCTCTCTCTTTTTCTCTTCCCCTTTCTTTCAATGGGCTCTGCGCTTTGAAAATCTTTAATCGGCATTATGTTTGTTACACAACATCTATACTAACGATTTACCAAAGCAAAGAAAGCAAAAAATACCCAAGCCCAAGCCCAACTCATCGTAATACTCTCTCTCCCTCTCCCTCTCCACTCAACTACCCTATGATAACTAAACGGCTTCTTCCTCCTCTTCTTGTTCTCCCTTTAGGTACCAATGGTTCTAGTGGGAAACAAATGTGACTTGGAAGAGGATCGTGCTGTAACTCGAGAACAAGCCCTCGCACTTTCTGAACGATGGGGTAACTGTACGTTTTACGAAACCTCGGCACGACAAAGAGCAAATACAGACGAGATTTTTTACGACGTTATACGACAGATTAATGCTCAAACGGCTGGAAAAGAAGGCGAGCGGTATAGGAAAAGTATCCGAAGAAAAGTTAAAGAACTGAGATGTGGGTGTCGGGTACAGTGATATGTATGTATATATACGTATATGCATACATGATTGATGGGAAAAAAAGTGGGAAGAGAGGGGGAGAGAGAGATAGAGAGAAACTGTGTGAATTTTTTTTTTTTACATCAATTTCCTTGGGTGCTTTTTCCTGTTTCGTTATTACGATACTCATTTCTTCTCTGTTTCTCTCACTCACTCTTCCTCTAACCTCTTCATTATACGTGTTATTCTCTAAAGACAACACGTTAATATCTCGCTTCCATTCTGTCTGAAAATTCCGGAAAACCGTACTGGGACAATCTTTTAATTGTACTTATAAAACAATTATAACAATCTTGTAATTATCATGTATACATATAACTTTTTCGTTGTTTATATATTTTTTTATGGAGGAAAAGATAAGAAGGACGATTATCAAGACACTGGGCAGGAGGAGGTTGAGGAGGAGGGGATGGATTAAGAAGAGAGTAGGATAAGGCGGGATCGTAAGATCTGATGCATGGCGGGAGTTGGTGGACAAAAAAGACAATTTTAATGTGGGAGAATACGGTGTGAAATGTTGTATACATTTAAAAGGTGTTTGAAGAAAAAGCTAACACGTATGATCGAGATGATGAATCTGTCGGGTGATGATAACTTGAGTGATGAGTGGCAAAAAAAAAAAAAGACATTTTATTGTAATTATTTGTTTATAATGGCAACTTTTCCTTTTTCTTTTTCTTTTCCTTCTTCCTTCTCCTCCTCACTCTTTTTGTTTATAAATAAAAGTGTATCAAGTATATTTGACTCAAATCAATCGATCATTGCAAATTTTCAATACCAAATTCTAATTCAGGTGATGCGTCATGTGAGATGAGCACAAGATTTACACATGCTCTGAATTATTCCTTTTTTGGAAAAGTTACGAACAGTCCCTGCTCGGCAATGTGACAATGCTTAGTAAGAATAAATGCCAATCGAGCGTGTCGTTTTTCCTTTTTTATGCGATAAACCTGCGCAATTCTCCGTGCTGGTATGACACATTCGATGAACAAGGGCGATGATTTGTTGGTGATATAGCTCTACGTATTAAACTGTTAATCAGACACGCAAGTCGATAAGCGCATTATATACCGCAGAAATGAGTGGCTATTCTGGCACCAGTTGACCTTCCAAGTATAAACATGTTCATACAGTCAACCCTATCTACAGTCCTTTAATTTATAAGTCACGTCATATAAAACTCAGTCTACAGTCACAGCCTTCCGCGCCAATTATAATAATAAAACATGATGAACTAAAAGGATGTGACTATAGATAGATAGGGATCGACTGTGAAATAATACTAGAAGCGAAAATATCTTTAAAGCAAAATGCCGTGTTGTCATGTTGAACAAATATATAGGTTCGTGTTTCGAAGAAGTCGTTAAATAAATGAAACATGTGCTGTAATCATAGTCACGTCTTTTAACCATTTGCAAGATATTTTCTTTGATTTTCTGCCCATTCGAACAAAAAGCTAAGAGCACCATTATCGTACCATCGAAGCATCCAGTCTAGAGTAAACAGGGTAAGAGCGATAGAAGAGAATAGTTCAAATGTATACTGGGAGCGTAATGAACGCTATCATATCATAATCATATTATTATACATTTATGATAGACAAATTCACTTGAAACGATAAATTAGAAGGAGTACTAACTAAAATATTGTTGCGATAAAATCTTATTAAAATACGTGACTATGTCTCAAAATGTGTGTATAATATGACAGAAAGTCACCCAGTACCGGTTTTCAATATTTAAAGTCATATAATTTCTGGGCTACAGTAATGAGTACAAGTGAATTTTTAGTTGCATGATGATAAATTATATTCTTTGTTTTTGGTTTTCAGAGAGTACATGCAATACACAAAACTCAAACATCCCAGTTATCAAAAAAAAAAAATTTTTTTTTCTCGTTGATACATTCATTTGCTGTTGGCAAAGATAAGCGGCTTATAGAACATACTTGGCATCTACTGAGCTGCTTCCCTCATAACTATCTTTGATGTCAGAGCAGATTTCGGTTTACATGAATTACTAAGAGATAGTGAAAAGGCACAACATCGGATTGTATTTATGCTGAATTCCCAAAGTGTTGTCAGCAATTGAATTATTCCACAACATCAGGTTCTGATACAAATAAGACGCGCATCTGCCATTATCTCAGACGACGTCTTATGTATGCATTGTGATCGCGCCGCTTCGCTTTACTACACGAGTTCTCTCAGCCTAATTAACTACGATCATGTGTAGTATTTCTTGGCAGAAATACATAATCATATTCAACAAATATATCTTTAATAGCATGGACATTGTCGAAAGATTCTGTTAATTTATTTGGTGATGCGAAATATCACTAATTTATCATTTATTTATATTAGTAAACATGTTATTTCATTATATTCAAATATCAATTTTAGGACTTGAGTTTGTCAGAATTTTTTACTCATGTAACAAAAAACTTGTTATATATAAAAAAAGGGGAAAGAATTTGAAGAAGAAATTAAAGAGCTTTTACAAAGAGAGGATTTTATAACCCGTGTAAGGTAAGAATTCTTACTGAGTATTTGTTGAGTTGTTTGTATCCGAAGGTACGCTGCCACTAGGTGTAAGTCGGAGAATTGAAAGCGCATCGTGGCCACAGCTTAAAAGTTATCATTTCAGTAGCTATTTAGTATGTGTATCTGAAGGGACGCTGCCACTAAATAGAATACGTGTAAAATATTTTATAGTTCCTGATACATGATAATTTGTCGGTTGTGAGCGTTCTTCTCCAGTTACCGAACTATGATGATACATTTACTCATTATATTCTTCCATAAAGATAAAATTGATAATTATTGAGATATTATTACAAAAATATATTTGACTACAGAAGAGTAATTACTAATTTATATACGTGTAATAATATCATTGTTAATAAGTCCTAATTTTTGCCCAGCAACTGAGGGGTGCGCTCGACGATTGGCCTCCAGAAACTGTCGCCATCTTGGTCTTACGGATGTATTGAAAAAGACGCTTACTGATAAAAGAATAATTCTTAGTCACAACAATAAGTTATTATAAATAGGAGTATAATTTTTCTCAATCTCTACGTGTGTTCCGATATGTCTCGTATTTTCTACGTTTCTATGTGCTTATACTGATTATTCTGATTATCAAAATAAGTTTCAATATACTAATATTAATAAAATAACGAAATAAACTAGTGAATAATTAACCTATCGATCGCGACTTGATAATCAACTTGTCTAATGTGAGCTTACGGATGCAAGGAATGCAGGTTCATAGCTATAATAACGAGTTACTATTTGTCACCGCTTCCCTTGCTATCAAAATAAGAATTCCCTAATAGGAGGAGAGCCGGTTTATTGTAACCCAGGATTATTGTCAGCAAGAACGACGTGAGCTGGAAAACCCTACTATAACCTAATAGCAAAAGAAGGTTACAGACTGAAATATTATTCTGACGGTGCACAGAAACGGAAACAAAAGATTCTGATTCCGAGTCTGATAATGTTAATGTGTCAAAGATCGTAAGTAGTATTCGGTTGCTTTGAAGCTTAAAGGCTATAATTCTTTTGTGTAAATTTTGATTCAGCCAGAAAGACGATCCATAAATGATAATAACGAGCGAGCAATGTAATCAGCAAGTTGATCGATTCCGTTATTACGTGTAGTACATGGAATATCATCCAATAAATTGTATCATTATTGTCACTCAAAAATGAAATACTGAGGAGCGGTTATAGAAATGGTTAGATTCAGACTAATAATAATAATACTAATACTACTAATACTAATACAGTGAATAATTGTCAATTGATCTTTGGAAAAATGATCTGATCGTGAATACAAACGTGATCTCACCGTATTATTATAATACATTTGATCGAATTTTCTTATCCTTCTTCGTTCGAAATGGAACACAGCCTTACATTTTTTTTTTTCACTGAAAAGAACTGGTTGGATACGCTCATAATATATAAAAGTCCAAGGGCATCGTATACTTGCTTATAAGTGTATATTTTTAAATTCAAATATTTTTAAACTGATTTATTGTTTCGCTTTGATATTACAGGATCACCAAAGTCATTACACATTGCCTCATCCAATCGCATCATTCTGATCTTCAACACAAAAAAATAGATCAAAAAATACTGCAGAATCTTTTGTTGACAACTGGAAGTTGATAGTCCTTCTTCCGTTGTTGAGTCTGACGATAAAAATAGATACTTGAGGTTTTTTTTTTGATTATTAATTCTCATACAGTCTTGTATAAAATGTTCAGAGCATTTAAATATAGTGTTGGGCTCGCTAGAACCGTGAGTACTACAGTGTTAGAGATTTTAATGTCTGTTTGTTTGATGAGCAAAAAATAACAATGTGTGGCCGTTAGACCTCAAAATCAAGCTTATCCCGAGCTTTCCACACAACACGCCCTGTCACTCAAGTTATAGCTTCAACCCCTTTGAGAGCGAAAGAATCACCTGTAAGTAAGCAGTGATAGGTCGCATGAAGACGTGTTCCTCATTGAACTATCTGAGCTAATGTGGTCAGTTATAAATGACAGCCACAGGTTTCCAGTAAATATGCCATCATTGATCACACATACGATGCAATTGTTGTTGGAGCTGGCGGAGCCGGTCTTCGTGCTGCATTTGGTCTCGCAGAAGCAGGTTTTAATATTGCCTGCATAACTAAATTATTTCCGACAAGATCCCACACGGTTGCCGCTCAGGTATAGTGTTCCATGATAGCGCTTACAATTCATTAATATTCTACTTTACTAATGCCTGCATATGGTTTGCATGTTTGCGAATTTGATGTGGTATGTGTAGGGTGGCATTAATGCTGCCCTTGGTAATTTGACCGAAGACGACTGGCGCTGGCACATGTATGACACCGTCAAAGGTAGCGATTGGCTTGGGGATCAAGATGCTATTCATTACATGTGTCGTGAGGCTCCTCGTACAGTAATCGAACTTGAGCATTATGGTGTACCGTTCTCACGAACGGACGAAGGGAAAATTTATCAAAGAGCATTTGGAGGACAAAGTTTAGACTTTGGAAGAGGTATGGAAATAATTGAGTACAATCTGTCATTGTTGGTTTACAGTAATAATTTTTCAAGCTTAATTGCACCATCACGGCTCACATTCATTACAATCTTCATTAATCCTTCACGTCACTATAATAAAGGTGGACAAGCCTACCGCTGTGCAGCCGTAGCAGATCGCACAGGTCACGCTCTTCTTCACACACTGTATGGTCAATCCCTAAGACATAATACGAATTTCTTCATCGAATACTTTGCTCTTGATCTTCTTATGGAGGATGGTGTGTGTCGCGGCGTTATAGCTCTAAATCAAGAGGATGGCACACTACATCGCTTCCGCGCACATAAGACTGTCCTTGCAACGGGTGGCTATGGTCGTACCTATTTCTCTTGCACCTCTGCCCACACTTGCACAGGCGATGGTAACGCTATGGTTGCTCGTGCCAACTTGCCACTTCAGGATATGGAATTTGTTCAGTTCCATCCCACTGGTATCTATGGTGCTGGATGCCTTATTACTGAGGGCGCTAGAGGAGAAGGAGGTTATTTGTTGAATTCTAAGGGAGAGAGGTTTATGGAAAGATATGCACCAACGGCAAAGGATTTGGCATCAAGAGACGTGGTGTCGAGATCAATGACTATGGAGATTCGCGAAGGGCGTGGTGTTGGTCCCGAGGCTGATCACATTTTGTTACAACTATCACACTTGTCGCCAAGCGACTTGCACGAGAAATTGCCGGGGATTTCAGAGACTGCCGCTATTTTTTCTGGTGTCGATGTGACAAAGCAGGCCATTCCTGTATTGCCGACCGTGCATTATAATATGGGTGGCATACCAACAAAATATACTGGAGAAGTGCTTAGTGTTGATGAGGTATCAATATAAAGAGAATTCAGTCGTAATTGTGTAACTTGTACTTGTTCAAGATGGACGTTTCCCAGATACTCTAACCACATTTACCTTTTCTTTATCAGAATGGCAATGACAAAGTAGTCCCCGGTCTATATGCAGCCGGTGAGGCGGCTTGTGTGTCAGTGCATGGTGCTAACCGTCTTGGTGCCAATTCATTGCTAGACATTGTTGTATTTGGCCGTGCTTGTGCACACCATATACACGATACCCTTAAACCTGGAACTCCCCACAAACCGCTTGAAGCTAGCACTGGAACCGAAACTATAGCAAAACTCGATAAGCTTCGGAACGCCAATGGACCATTGTCCACCGCTCAAATACGCCTCAATATGCAAAAGGTTATGCAGAATCATGCTGCTGTCTTTAGAACTCAGGAAAGTCTTGATGAAGGTAAGTCGGTTTGGAAGACAATAAAAAGGTTCTTTATGTTGAAAGTTGTTTGTGTGATTAATACTTTGTGGTGTTGTCCCCACCCCATTATCAGGTGTAAAAAAGATTGATGACGTCTATAACTCATTTGCCGATGTCAAAGTCAGCGATCGATCAATGACCTGGAACTCGGATCTCATAGAAACTTGGGAACTGAAAAACCTTTTGACCAATGCTGCGCAAACCATGCACAGTGCAGCCGCCCGCAAGGAATCCCGTGGTGCTCACGCAAGAGAGGACTATAAGGTATAAGATCAACTCTCTTTATATTATAGTCAAATGGGTAACGTTCTGACAAAAAGTTTTTCTTTTATCGCGATAGGAACGAGATGATAAAGAATGGCTTAAGCATTCACTTTCATGGCAAAAGCCTGAAAGCGGTGAAGTTAAGCTGGGATATCGGGCAGTGACTATGTCTACTTTAGATTCTAACGAATGCGAAAGCGTATGTATCGTTTACTTATATCTTCTGATTTAATCAAGTTATTCAATGTACTGATTACCCCCACTTTATTAACAAATAAACTACAGATTCCACCAAAAGCTCGTGTATACTAAAATGTTGAAAAATAATTTATATAATTCGATTTACGGAATGATAATAAATTTTGGAAAGAGTCGGCGAGAGCTAAACATCAAATAATTGGCAATGCAGGATGCGCTTGTACCAAGTCATTATTCAAGTCCCAGTATTGGCAATAGTCTGTGTTACGTATATGAAAATGGACAGTTACATAGTTATAGGATAAGCAGTAAGCAATCCTCGGGAACAACTTACGTTTGTCGTCTGTGTTCTAAGATTGTATTTTTCTATTACCCGTTTTTTGCGTCCAAATTCACGATCACAACTATCTTGTAATCTTCTTTTCGACCCCTTTATCCGGTCTTCCGTATGCAGCTGCATACGTTGTTTTTTGGTTACTACCATGTTGTCAGACTCTCGTTTCACTAGATTCTCACATTTTCTGAGAGTTCTCAGCTCTTGCTCCAACTCCCGTTCCAAAGAGTCTAGCTTTTGTTTCAGAGCGTTGATATTCTCACATAGTCTTTTATTTACGCGAACCATTATGAAGTGACCATACACTGTAGCGTGAGACTTGAAATATGTAAGAGCCAATCAAAAGTTCAAAAATTTATAAAAAGAGGTCATTATTACAGTTTAATGTTCTTTTTTGGCAATAATGTGTCGAGTCAATAATCAAAGGAGAACGATCAACTATGACTTTGAGATTTAGCAGTCTTGGTCTCTGTTCCTAACCGATAAGTAGTGACTGTTTAACCTTGAGTGTCTACTACCATGTCTATTAGTAGAAATCGACCAATAAATAGCCTATAAGTTAAGGTCCGAGTACATTATTTATGACACTATTACTCTCATCACAGAGGGATAGGCTCTATTCGAGTCAACGGTCACTCGAGTCGAACGGTTAGCTCACGATACCTATCGATCTGTAGACACTAATCCTCGCTTACTGTGTCGGTCTCATTTGGGATTAAAGAGAAAGCCTACAAGTTGGGTTTTATTTATAGCTATCTAAAAACGGTTTATTTACTAGACGAACAGTAATCGTAACTGCCACTAGAATAATTCGATGGACAAGTATCGAATTATTCCTCTCAATAATGGGGATTAGTGATTCGCGCTTTGCTGAAACGATTACCAGGGAACGAATTATCAATCATTAACGGTGTTTTCAGAGTATAATACTACCCGTTTATTAGAGAGAAATTGTGAGAATTACTTGAACATAGAGAACATAATGAGCTCGCAGCTGCTTAAATATCCCACTAGCTATTCTAAAATACATGTAAGCGTGTTTGACGATTCCCGCTGATCTTCACCGGATACAGGCAAAGATTACCGTATACTACCGTGAATAAGCACCCATCGTGAATAAGCACCCCCTATAAGTAAAATTTTCGATCGTGAATAAGCACCCCAATATTACTTAGATTAACTGCATGATGTGCCCCCCACCCACAGTTCATTACGTAAGTATACAAATCAAAAATTTTTATTTCACAATAATAGTATGCTTCTGGTTACTGCAATTACTGTTGTAAGCTACCCCTTAACGTTGTTGTGGATTATACTTTACGTAATGATTTGCCGATCATTTTAATAATGCCGATAAGAGTTGACGATCCTATCGTGAATAAGCACCCCTCACTATGATAAGGGTGGGTGCTTATTCACAGTAGTATACGGTATTCCTCTTTATTTATTTATTACTTATTTATATGTATGACAGAAAAAGGAGCAAATGGCCGTACCCTCACTTCTTATTTACATACTAATTAATACGTGAGAAACGTAAAGTGAATTTTAAAACCGTATAATAATAACCTCCATAAACTTAAGACTACTGCATATAATTATTGACTTACAATCCATAATGCATACTCTTATTATATTGGAAAGACATATTCAATTTGGCATTTTTGCAAACACAGAAACGGTACTCAATCATGTCTAATCCACTCGTGATCAAGAACTTCATCAATGCACTGAGGCCTTCTGTTGGGGTCAACATTCAACATCCATTCCATCAACTCCACACATTCTTCAGAAGGACGATTATATTTGCTAAACATGACCGGTCCTAAGGCTTTGCAAATTACTCGTTCTCGCTGAAACGGCTCAATTCTTTCGAAGAGTTGATAGAAAATACTTCCTAATATCCACACTTGTGCAGTCGATTGTTTATAAGTAACGTGACCGTACATTTCAGGTGGAATAACTGAGTTGAGGAAAAGACTATATTAGCAAAAGTATAAAACAACGAGTATAAATAAACGTGAATTTTTACATTAATATTTCAACCCTTACTTACTCGACCCAGTTTTCTCAATATATTGATCACTTTCCTCCGCCTCAACGGCCAAACTAAAGTCGATTAATTTAATATTGCCATCAGTGCCGATGACTATATTTTCTAGTTTTAAATTGCGATGGTAGATACAATAGTCCTCTAAGTGCTTGCATGCAAGCAACAGCTGGCACATTATTCTTTTTGATTCATCTTCCGTCAATCCGTTAGTTTCTCTGCTTCTTGTAATAACGTTCAAATAATCTTTTAAATTTGACTCATGGTATTCGAACACAACCATACACTCTTCTGGTCTGATTTTCGCCCAGTAAAGAAGAGCTACAATATTAGGGTGCGGAGAAATTTTTCGGAGAATGACCACTTCTCTTGGTATTTCGATTTTATCACATACAACAGTTTTTACTTCGGATTTTTTCAAAATCCTTTCTATTGCCACGGGACAACTTTCTCCGCTATGGACGTTACCAAGCAAACTTGATCTTGATTTCGAGCAGATCGTATGTTCCATACCAATACTGATGGTGGAATTTGGCACTTCTTGAAAATTTTGTTCTGGATACTTGATGATGATGCCTTTAGTCGTTCATTATATAGTTGTAGCTAGATACACGACATATCGGCGATCAGCAATCCGAAAATGTGACTTGAATGTGACTTGAATGTGACCAACTTGGAATCTGTATTATGACACGATTGTTCGGTACAACGATGATCGCACCTTATTAAGTAAACCATTCCAATAACGGATAATCAACGTTTCATCCATCATAATCATAATCATCATCATTATCACCATCATCATCATGAATAAAACGTAGAAAACACGGAAAACATATAAAAACAATTATATATAAAAAAAAATTACATTACAAAAAACATTAACAAAAAACGCAATCTTCCTTTGGTCAATTTGTGGCGTTACATTACATTTTACTAAATTTGTTTCATTGATTTATAGTGATAGTTAATAGGGTAACTTACGTATGTCATTCATTATACACGTAATTACTCACGCTATATCATCACAGATCAGAAAGAAATTGCCGTATTGTACTGGTTATAGTACCCCCGGTATAGTACCCCTCTTGTTTAGTATCAATCCATTCGGGTACGCTATTAAGTATAAGTATTGTATTATAGTGCACGCAGTCTAAAGCCACCACTATTTATCATGTGACTTCAAATGAATAGAAAAAAAAATTGGATGAATATTTTCCAAATATCTTTCTGTAAAATGATAGTTTATATGGTACTCTTTTATGTAACAGAAAGTTTTTTTAAATTGGATTACTGTATTCCTACGATATCATTTAAACCCTTGGCCAATCAATTTTTTGTAACTACGTCACACTTTTTCTCGGTTAACTAAAATCAATTAGGGAAATACCCCGGGAGTTTTACGGTACTTACTTTCATCTAATGCATTACTTTCATCTCTCTTTGTGATAGTTATAGCCGAACGTCTGAACTAAGTTATCATTATAAATTAAAAAGGATCGTACAATTATTTATCGTTGTAAGTTTAAGTTATTGTTTTCTTCTGTAAATCGATTATAAGAGCCGTGAACTACTTACATTCATCTCCCTTAATGATAATTATAGCCGAACCGTTATTTTTACGAATTGAAAAGAATCGTACAATTGAAATATTTCGTAGAGCAATAAATTACTTACCATAGCCGATAAGGTTACTATTACTAACTGGCTCTTTTTGACTGCTTATGTAAATCACTTCAGATTTCTTAACATTATTATTGAACAACTAAAATAATAATTATAATAGAGTACAATTAGTAGTTAGTACAACATTGTTTACCACATCAATATCTGCATTAATACCGTCATTATGGTCATCATTCTAATGGAGAAGAGGAATAAGAAGACGAGATAGAGTACGATGTGTTCTTATATTAATATCTCATTTCATTTTTTTTCTCACACCTCAATTCTTAACTCTTAATACCTTATTAATATTAATAGAACATATATTTGGGGCAGACTGCAACAAAACCAGACAAAGTGAACATTCTATTATGTGACATAAATGAGAGGCTGATTGTGATGTGG